TGAGTTCAAATCTTTGTGTAGCCACGCCTCCTGTTCCCCACAGAGGCTCAGTTTTAAAAACGAAGGTATCCGATCCAAAGGTTGCTGTATGGAAAGGTCCGTGTCTTATAGGTGCTAAGTCCTGCACCCACACAAGAAAAACCCCATAGGGCGGGGTTGGACACTCCTGCAGCGCCTAGAGAACGACCATTCAGGTAAGCCAATGGTCATTCTCCTAGGCGCTGCTTGGAGTGTCCAAGCATGGGACATACCCAAGCTATGTGGTCCCAGGGTGGGAAGAAGGAATGACCCGGGTAACAGGGGCCGCAAGGACCCGCTGTAAGACCCTCCTTTTCGAATGAACGGAGATGGCGAGGACCAAGTGACCGCCCAACAGATCTCCTCAATGGGTGCTTGAGTGGCTCAGGCGGTCGTCGTCGTGGCGCTCCTTATGGAGTGTGCTGTTATGCGAGGAGGAACAGGCCTGGCTTGTTGTTCATAGGCCAACTTTATGCATGCGCACAGCCAGTGACCTATGGTGGAAAATGACACTTTCCTGCCCATTGAAGTAGGTTGGAATGAAACGAAGAACAATTCCGACTTGAAAGGAGGCCGTCCTCTTTTTGTACATCCGCACAACGCGGCGCACATCCAGCTTGTGCCAGACCCACTCCCTTGGACAGCTAGGGTGTGGGCAAAAGTCGGGGAGGATCACCTCCTGCATTCTGTGGAATAAACTGTTAATTTTTGGTAAAAAGGCTGGGTCCAATCTCAGAATGATCCTGTCCGAATGAATGATACAAAGGTCCTCCCTAACGGAGAGTGCAGCCAGCTCTGAGATTCTGCGCGCCAAGGTAATGGCTATGAGGAAGGCAGTTTTGAGTGACAAGTGTCGTAGACTAGCCGAGTGAATAGGTTCGAATGGCAATGATATTAGGGTCTGCAAGACAATTGACAAGTCCCAAGTTGGGTAATGGTGCACCGTCAGAGGGCATAAGTTGGTAGCCCCCTTCAGGAAGCTGCGAACCTTTGGGTGTCTGATGAGCGGTTGAGAATTGTCTTTGGACAAGATGGTGGCCAGGGCTGCTGTCTGCCTCCAAAGTGTGTTGGGGGCAAGGCCCTTGTCCAAGCCCTCCCGTAGAAAATTCAGGATTTGCGGAATTGTCGCAGTCGTGGCGATGATATGATGGGAGTGACACCAGGAAGAGAAACTGGTCCATGTCGCATCATAGATCCGCACAGTAGAAGGTCTCCTGGACACCTGGATAGTGCGGATGACCTTGTCAGAGAAGTTGTCCTGCCTCAGGAGCTCGTCCTCAAGTGCCACACTGCCAACTGAAGCCATCGAGGGTCCAGGTGAGGAATGGCCCCCTGGCAGAGGGAGATCTGCTGCTGAGGAATGCGCCAGTGCTTGGTCACTGAAAGACTGACAAGGTCGGCGAACCAGGACCTCCTTGGCCAGTGCGGAGCCCCGAGCAGTACCTCAGCCCCCTCCAGTAGGATCTTCCTGATCACCTGAGGTATCAGTGGGAGGGGCGGAAACGTGTATAGCAGTCCCGGGGGCCAACGGCACCAAAGAGCGTCCTTCCCTTCCGCGCCAGGGCATTGGAACCTTGAAATAAACCGGGGGAGCTGAGTGTTCTCGGGACTGGCAAATGGATCTAGGACTGGGAGACGGAACCTCTGCGTCAGCTGGTGGTCAGAGATGGATGAAGCTGCCACTCCAAGTTGCTGATGGTCATTCTGCTCAGCCAGTCCGCTGTCACATTGTCTTCCCCGGAGAAGTGGTTCGCCCTCAAGGACTCAAGGTGGCGTTCTGCCCAACACCCAAATGCCACTGCCTCTGACATCAGGGCCGTTGATCGAGTGCCGCCCTGATGATTGACGTAAGCCTTGGTGGCGATGTTGTCTGTCAGACATGACGGCCCTCGACGAACCGACAGAAGTGGCACAGGGCGAGCCTGGAAGCTCTGAGCTCCAGCCAGTTTATGTTGTGGGCGAGCTCTGCCTGTGACCACCTGCCCTGCGTCACGTGACTCTGTAGGTGAGCGCCCCAGCTGAATAAGCTGGCATCTGTTGTTATGACTAGGCGCTCTGGTTCCTTGAAGAGGGATCCCCTCGCTAGTGCTGATTGCCACCACTCGAGCGACCAAACCACTCTTGGGGGAACCATGACCACCCTCTTGGTGTTGCTGGCCTTACATCACTATATGGGGAGAAGGAACCACTGAAGTTCTCGTGCATGCAGCCGCGCCCATGGAACAACAGCAATGCACGAGATCAGCTTCCCCAGCAGCTGAGATAGAGTCACTAGAGGTGCTGACCTGGATTTCCTGATCTGGCATATGAGGGATGTAGGCACTAACTGCCTTTTGAAACTGTCTCTCCAGGGCCTTCTGTCTCCTTTCAGCCAACCTTTCTGCAGCTTTTGAGACTTTCTTGGCTTGGCGCTGTTTCCCTTTTGCAGGGCAGCCTGCACTGTCCCCCTTAGCAGCAGGGTTGGGCCTGCTGTGTTTGTTAGCAGGAGGTTCAGCTTGATCCCTGGCTTCAGACACATTCCTGCTGGCCATGGCACACTTTTTTTTTCTCAGTCAGAGCTTTAGATGTGATAATCCCAGTAATGCAATAGTTCTGGAAGTATGCCCCTTTAATTCAGTCCAAGTTCTGAGAAAAATGGAGCCTTGCGGGATCAGTAA